TTGTTCAAGTGATTGCCGTAAAAAGCTCGTCTTCAGCAGGGACTGACATATTTCCTCCTCCGCTGACAGAATAAGAAGTCCCAAGCAGCCCCTGATTGGGAGTTGGAAATTGAAGGTGTGTGTGTGTGTGTGTGTGTGTGTGTGTGTGTGTGTGTGTGTGTGTGTGTGTGTGTGTGTGTGTGTGTGTGTGTGTGTGTGTGTGTGTGTGTGTGTGTGTGTGTGTGTGTGTGTGTGTGTGTGTGTGTGTGTGTGTACACAACAGTACTGGCACCATGCAAAAAGAGTACTGTAAAGTTATGCCACGAGTTAATTTCTGCAGTCAACCAAGGCCTTCTTTATCACTCTGAGCTGCAGCTTCCACATATATGGCTGATTTGAGTACAGCAGCTAACGAAAGAGTCATTATAAGCTTCCCCACACACACTTAATTCTCTAATGAGTGTTTTTTCTTCATGATAGATTCTGTTACACCAATACAATAAAGCATATTCATTACCTAGAGACCTTACATTGTAATAATTGTGGAGGTTGTCTGTGATTCCAATGCAGTGCTATGTCAGTAGGGTTAGGGTTTAGCTGCATTCACATGACATGATCTTTGCTTGTCGTGATGTTGGTTGCAGAGCCTTGCGGTAACAAAAGCCAGTAAAGTTTTGTTTCTATGGTTCCCTCCCCTGCTAGCTGGGGCCGCTTAGCATAGCTGTCATGTGATTGGAAGCACGTCCAAATGTCAGCTGTGAACGAGATCAAAGTTGAAGTATTTTGGACTTAGAGCATATCGCTCTGCGACCATTTAGAGCGGTGCAGACAGTTAGGGCAGCGCTTCCACGTAGTCGGGCAGCTCTCTTCATAGGAACACAACTTTGTAAAGTAAACATTCGGCAGAGCTTACCTCCCATATTTTGCCAGACACAGAGCTCGTACAAATAGTAGTCTTCTGCGAATTGGTGTCTTTTAGTTGTTGTTTTTTCGCAATCTTTTTTGCTTCTGACTTACTTTATTTGCCTTTTTGTGTCCTTGTAGAGAATATAATGATATGGGATATCATATTGTATAATCCCATAGAAATATAATCTGACTTTTTTACAACATTTCTGGTTGAAATGTGGGAGGTGACACGACCCATAGAGACCTTGAGAACCATTCACAGGGGAACATAATAATATATAAGTATGTATAATGTAATATTTAAAATATGACATATAAACCTGATATTCTTATTTTTAACATATACTGTAGGCTGATACCATTGGATCGTTGCAGTACATTTCAGTAAATCACAGGTTTATCTTGTGCCAATGCGCACAAACAAAAATGTGCGGGGGGTGATTCTGAATCCTATGAGGTCCCTTGGTAATACCAGTCCTGTGCAGATAGGGCTTTAGATTGTACAGCCAAGAACACAAGGCTACTAACAGCTCTATTGCCACTGTTAGTCCTCAAACACAGTCAGTGATCATGATACTGTAATGTCGCTTTCTTTCCTGAACACCACAGTCAATGTCGCTGACTCTCGGTGCTGTTTTAGTTGCCCAGGCAACTCACTTAATGACAGGGACCTGTGACAGATTCCCCTTTCAGTAATTGTACTCTTTGATGACTCTTTGTGCACTCCAGTGCGAAGGCTGTCTAGGAAGTGGGCGACCAGGGCATTTAGAGGAGACGTCAGCGTAAAGAGCTGCAGCTGGTTACCCACCAACTTTCAGGGAATGTACAAAGTGGCAGATTCCAGCAAAGTGATGATTGATTGCAAGACTTTTCTTTCTTTTTTTTTTAAAGAAAGAACATAGTGTGCCGTTTTTTAGTAGTGGATTTAGTCATTCATCGCTCATTTTTGTTAACGTATCAGCCAAAATACATCATGGCTCGTGCTTACATAGAGAGGCACACAATGTTGAAACTCCATTTGAATGTTACAAGCAGAGGAATTGATCTACTAACACAATGGAATGTGTTGCGTTTTAGATAACCATTCACAGGGCTTATCTGGTACATGACCTTCCAGCTTGATGATTAGTTGTACAATGCGCTGCCTTCAGATGGCACAAACCTTTGTATGTGGATATCAATTCATACATGTTAGAGCCAATATAGCCTGTTTTCTATTATTAGTTTTTTGTCTGTTACCTTTTTTATTTGTTTTTCCTTACTTTTCTGCTTGATTTTTGAGGAAAACAATTTGACTAAGTTCATACCTGGTTATAAAGCAACTAAATGATCTTACCAGTCCATGACGATAAGCCAACACATTTTAACTGTGGTTGAATATTGTATTTTCAGATTGCAATAACCAGGTTTTTGAGCATAAAGGAACATGTCAGTTTATAAGAAATGTATTTGTACGTCTGCCAAGAAGATCAAGATTTTGGCTTTTTTTTGTGTTTTGTTTTGTGGCCTCATTGTTATGTTCTTGGTGGAAGGGTGTAATGGAAGAACCCATTACAATTTGGAATGGAATCATTGGACGGTTACTGTACATGCATCATGTTTACATTTCGTTGAGATTGGGAAAATGATGAAAAAACAAGTTCCTGACTGGAAAATGTGTATATGACCGTCCACTTAACTCCGAAATTGATATAAATAAAACAGACCAAATGTTCTTTGGGTCCATTGTGTTTCCACATTTCGTCTCAAAACTCACTTGAGTTGGAAGAATGATTTCCAAACTCAGCAAGTGAGTCCATCCTTGACGTTTTTGAAATCACCATTGGCCTTGGCGGAGGTCTGAGCTCTCTGAGTGCCATTCTAGTATGAATTATCTTTAAGGGCATTGTTATGCCTTTGTAGTTGAAAGTACAGAGATGACAGGAAATGAATCCAATAAGAGTGATGGGAATAAAATGAAGCACATTTGCTCACAGGATGCATACATCTCCATGGTCAACAAATACTACATTTATATTGCAAATATGATGACAAATAATCAGCAAAAGCAGCAAGCCTAAATTCATTTTTTTAAGCCAGTGCACTCTCTCATCTATATTTTATACTTATTGAACCATAGTTATGGATGGTTGTTCGTCGACGGATAGTTATGGATGATTGACGGTTTATTCTTGACCTAAAGAAAAGTGGACTCAAACTATGTCATGGTCCCTTGCTTGTTATGTCACATGGTTCTTACATTCTTTTTCTTATAACTTTTATTTAACCATATAACACATGATACAAAAAGTCTCAATGGTGTCCTGGCCAAGGATGCAAAGTCACACATTCATATTTATATTTATATATTCATACATAAAATAACATATATCACCAGCAATTTGAGGGTGCACAGTTTCCATGGAACTGAAGGTATTTAAGCTGAACTTGGTTGACTTTAAGCTTTAACACTAATTTTGACCTTGAATCATATCCGGATTAAACACATATTTCTACCTCAATGTGCATACAATTGTACATGGGTGACCTTACAGTATAATTGCCATGCATCAAGATTATGTTGTGTATGTGTTGCTAAAAATATACATGCCATAACCAAATCCAATATGCAAGCTGAAATAGTCCATTTGCACCCCTTTGAGAGCAATATGCAGCCATACATGCAGAGCTGCAGGCATACCACTACACACAAGGAGTCACACGTAGGATAAAAAAAACAATGACAGACCATCATTAATTTGGGCTCATTTAAAGAGTTTCTCAGTGGGCAGGATGTTGCGAGGCATTTGTGTTAATGAGCTACATCATTCATTTGAAATGATGGCACAATTAGGAAAACAAAAGTGCAAGGTGTGACAATTTAAGTGAATGTGCTTTGTCAGTGTCTGCAAACAACACCTCTGAGACAGTATATGCATAAAAGCCGGCTTATAAAAACATTGCGCGGGGGGGGTGAGTTTAGAGGTCGGGATTCTCACCCGACATATTTTTACCTCGCTATTTTGCACCCTAACCACGCTCCCACGGGAAACGCTGTTGGAACACTGTGGCAGGAAATGAAATTAAAGCTGCTGAATACAGATGTTTGTATGTGTGGGTGTGGGCTCAGATGTGTGTGTGGGTTATTGAGAGGAATGTATATTAAGAAAGAATACAAAGGAAGAGGGCTGACAGCCGTTTCACAACACTGCTGGATTTGTAAATGTTTTACTCAGCGCCTCCCGTCTGAAAGTCACTCACCTCGGGGATCAAAAAGGCTTATATTAAAGGTGACTTACAGTATAATAAGTGCTCCGTCTGTTTATGTGAATTAAACTTCCCTCATGTCCCTTTTTCCTATGACCTTTTGTCATCTCGTGCTGTTGTATCCGCTACGCTCCAAATTTACCTTTTTATTTGTACGTACAGAAGCCTTTGCTCCTTTCCTCGGTCCACAGATGTCTCAACAGCCTAATGTAGCATTGTCACACTCATTAGTTATACTCAGCTCTGCGGCGAGTGGGAGCCATCCACTCAGCCTTGCACGTAATGCAGCCTTAGTGAACTAATGAAACTGTAATTACAAAAATAATGAGGAACATGCAGCAGCGTCCAGTAACTTAGGGCTAGTTATTTGCCAGCATGAATCATCATGTGCAGAGTTTCCTCGTACATTTTTCATGGGTTTTGATACTTTTCTCTGCTCTGTTTTGGAAGGCACATTCAAAGCACTTCTGTGCATTCCAGACTGCAGGGAGCAATATCCCCCCACATTGTGTGTTTGTATGATGTATTTGCAATGTATAATGAGGAACAATGTAGGCTAAGGTCCATTTCCTGTGCTACTTATAAAGCTATTGCACCCAGTGGGCCTCATTTAGCAAAGTGTAGGCTATGTTGAGCCACGTTTAGTATCCCTGCTAAACTAGTTGGAGCATAGCAAGGAGGAAAAAGAGCAACACATTACATTTATACTGTTACATGCGTTTACATGGTGAGAACTTCTAGAATCTGCTGAGCATATCAACTTGCATTCATTACAACCCCCACAGCTGTCTCTGCTTCCACAGTGGGATCAAACTGAGGACTCCACCTTTTTAATGTCATTATTTTCCATCTCTGTTTACTTGCAGCTACACACAGATTTGGATGTGGGTGGCAAGAACATCAAGTACGTCCTGGCGGGCGAGGGTGCTGGCACCATCTTCGCCATCAACGAATTAACGGGCGACATCCACGCCATGAAGAGGCTGGACCGCGAGGAGAAGGCCGAGTACACGCTAACAGCCCAGGTCGTCAACGCGGACAACGACCAGCCCCTGGAACCACCGTCAGAGTTCATCATCAAAGTCCAGGACATTAACGACAATCCGCCGCAGTTCAACGAAGGCCCGTACCGAGCGTCGGTTCCAGAGATGTCCGGTGTCGGTGAGTCACGATAAACACATTTCATTTCTGGTCTGCAGCCTGATCCGTGTGTGAGAGTTCCAGGACGGCTGATCTCTAATGGGTTATTGCATGAAAATAATGAGTGAGTAGGAACAAGAGGAAATGAGTATGCCCATTTACATGCTTGCTTGTTATGAGTATTTTGGCAAATGAAAATAGGACAAAGATAAATCATATAACTTCAGCCATAACTCAGTGCTGTATCTGCACAACTGGTGTCATTCAAGGGTTCTTAGGATCTTCTTAGCATTCTTTTTTTTACACTAGGTCAAACGTTCAATGTATGTTACACTGGGTCAAAACATTGAAATCACTCACAGACAACTTAAAGCCTACTTGTGTTTTACTCCTTGAAAGCTACACCTTCAAATTTGACAATTCCTTGGACTTTAGACATTGGTATCTCCACAGTGGCTGAAAGAATATTTACCGATCAAACAGCATTTGACACGTCCATTCCCTTTGCGTAATAAGGGGCTGTTTCTATGTTTACATGATTCTATGGTGCCAGGGTCCCCAATGTATATCATTCAAACAATCCCTCAAATCTCACCTTTTCACTCTTGCCTTCAACTCCTAATCCATTAACCCCTCGCCCTTATTCCACCTAGCTTAGCACTTTATACTTGTCTTGTTATGTTGTTTTACTTGCTTGTAAGCGCTTTCAGCACCAGGAAAAGCGCTATATAAATGTAATGTATTATTATTATTATTATATCCTCTTTATGACACATTACTGGGACCTTTCAAAGGATCTTATCAAATCAAATCAAATCAAATCAGGTTTTATTTATAAAGCACATTTATAAAGCACATTTAAAAGCGATTTTTGGTCGAGCCAAAGTGCTGTACATGTAATAAAAACACATTACTACAAAACACAATAAACGACAATAAATTACAACAGATATATCTAAAAAAACAAAATAAAAATAAAACACACGGAAAAGTCAGGAGTCGTGCTCCGCTCTAACTAGAAAGCCAGAGAGAAGAAGTGTGTTTTTAGTTTTGATTTAAAACCCCTAGGGTCTGGGCCCTTATGCTCTTACTAAAGTGTTTTACCTTAGGACAATGTATGCTTTGAAGTTACTCACCTAAAACTAAAAGCCAGCTTATGTTAGACTCCCTGATAGCTTCACCTTTTAATTTGAGGGCTAGACAAATCCATCGACATAAGGATGTAACGACTAAACAGCCATTGAAACGTCCATTTCCCTTTGGTCTTTTGCACTTTAGACTGTGAGAAAAGCCCTTACTTGCCAAATGTAAAAGTAATAAACATTGGTTATTTTATCTTCAAGCCAAAGTTATTTGAATTCTCTTGTGATGTTACAGATTCTTAACTCATCACAAAAAAGACATCACACATTTGGCTGAACCTTTTGTGTATAATTGTGAAATTGATGAGAAATTCTACCTTATGCTTTAATAAGCATTTGTGGTACCTAAAATAAGAATACAAATGTGTCCAGTTTGGGGAACATATATTTGTGTAAGCCGTTTTTGGGATAAAACAACGTGTTGCCTTTGTTTCATGGTATTTTAACCAAGGATTTAAGCGTTTTTATTTTAAAAGCAAAATGGTTTTGAGTTCATTTTGTATCAGTGTTGTTTTTATGTTGGTTAGTAAGTTTATATCAAGAACATCCTGGGAAGATAGAACCATGGTTACATAAGGATGACCCTGCATAACTGTACATAATAACCCACTTGCAAATAATTCCAACTAAAAATGCAAATCACCACATCACGAAAGCTTGATTGAACTTGAATCCGACAGAGGCTGAAAAAGCACCATGAGCACATTCCTGACATTCTACAGCAACATCAGCATACAGCACTCGGCCTTCTGGCAAGCATTAAGAAAATGCTATTCTCCGCTTTGCATAGGTGAAGGGTCACACTTTCTTATTATGTGGAGCATTTGGTGAAAGTGTGGTATTTTTATTGCGTTGTTTAACATTTTCATGTGTCCAGTCTATTATGTGGTATGAGCTGGTGATCACTGCGATCAAATATGTATGGAAAGATTAGAAAGTGCAGGATGTAATGTGTTGAAAAACTGAGGGGAATTGACTAGGAAACCACAGTGGATCACTTTATTTAGTATCAAAGGCATTCCAAATTTGACCTTTTTTTCCCCCCTTCTCAACACAGCAGGAGAGCTTAACAAACGCAGCTGTAGAAAAGTCTATGCAAGAATCCTTTTAATTCAAGATTCAAGCGTTTAAGTATAATTATAGCAGAAGAGCATAAATGGTCTACATTTACACTTAACTGTCACTTAGCGTGTCAACACTGACAGATGCTAATTGCCACAAGCTACCTTTCTTCATTTCTCCACAAACTAGTACACAAACACTTTCCATTTTGCCGTATGCTAATGTATTCATATATTCACATTCCATCCATGCATTTAAATGACCACTGCATGCTGATCACATCATTCAAATGTATAGCCCATCTAGGATTGGCAGAAGCCTGTAAGTGGATCAGTACACTTTGTTGTTGGTTTTCTTCAGGGGAGCCTTGCCACTGACCCCCAGAGCAGCAGGAGTCTTGTAGAAAAATGTTTCCATCAGTAGCAGGAAAGAGATCATAGTGTGTCTTTATGCCGTTTTGACATTGGACGAGTTCAGCGTGGGTGCCGAGGTCTGCTGTTGGGCGGTATGCGCTTGTTATTGTGTTTTCTCATCAAGCTTCCTCTTGTTACCTGTCACGGAGCTGACACAACATGCTAGGGCAGATGGCGCAAGGTATGTAATGGAATCTGTTTTGGGAAATCCCATCTGTAGGTTGCAGCCTTGACGTCAGCTCTTGGAAGGCGATTTAGCATCTCGTGATCATGACTTCTGTTAGCTGCTGAGGGAAGCAAAAAGGAACAAAACACAGTGCAATATAATCCATGTAAACACGGAATAACAGTGAACTCTTGTTGTCTGAACTCCATTACTTGATCCCCACTGCTTATTGTTTTGGATCTCGCTTGAAATGCTAACGTATCTCTCCAAGGGTTTTGCCGGCGCAGTGCAGGGACATCCACGGTGATGGGGTAGCGAGCAAAGTGGTAGTTGACAGCACTCTGTGATTTGCCAGTGGGAATAATGCATAAGAAATGGAAAATCGGCGTCTCTTTGTTGATTGTTGTTCCCTTTTGTCACTACTGATTAATTAAACATTCAGTAATGCTCAGTTGTTCGCTTGAAAGACATTTTTTTGTTTCTTCCTGCGAGTAGTTTTCCTCTTGTTAAGTTTTCATGTGCTGCCGCACGGTGGGAAGAACGTGATTCTCCGGACAAACAAACAAGAAGTCATTCATCGCCTAATATTCATATATAACCTGGTTCCTTTTACAGTGGCGTTTCATCTTTGTATTGCGTTGAAATGAGAATGTATGCAGGCCTCAGTGGATTACTGGTGCAGGGGATAAAAACCACAGGAAAAGGGGGAAGAAATTAAACGGATGTTGCTGCTGCATATGAGCAAATCCCCCGAACTACGCATTACAGTGTAATCATGGCACATGCTAAGAGTAGAACAGACGTCTGGTATTGCGTTCAGACAATGCTGAGAACGTGATTTTGCTTAGCGAGAACCCTCCTGCGTAGAATAATCAAAAATCGAATCCGCACCGTAACGGCTGCTTCTCCTGGCGATGTTATCCACTTGTCAGTTCCACTCCAGGCTTCATCAATGTCTCAGCAGCTCCTCGCTTATCAGGAGTGTGTCCACGGTATATCAGCCACACCCGGGACAAACATCAACACCCACCTTTTATCTGCCAAGGACTACGGATAGGTACAAAGCCCTTCTCATTGAATGTCACCATCCCCCCCATAGGAAGCGGTCCGCACAGCCGGATGAGATATGTGACATGGGCCACGAGGTCGCCATGTTTCCTGCTCGCGGAGGAGCATAGAGGTTAATGGGAAATGAAGGAGAAAGAGCTTTTGTTCTCCCTTTTTAAAAGGCCCAGTCGGATAAGACGTGTGGCTCTCCGTGACTTTTCTCTGACTTTCATTTCCCTGAGAATGGAGGTGACTACCGTTGTAATTGTTCAGCGGATGGTTTCTCAAAGTACAGTGCAACAATGAGAGGAAGTGGAGAGCAGAGGTGGTGTTGGAGGAAGTCGGAATTGAGTTTGAGCGTATTAATGTAAGGAGTCTGAATACATGACTGCTGTGCTTGATGGGGTGTTACTATATGGTGCTGTTTGACAACGCATCTTGAAAGATGCCCACTTTTTTAGTAATAAGAGAAAACAGCTATAGTTATTTTTCTATCCAAATCCATAAGCCAGTGGAACACATAACACATTGTTTTTAACACAATTATTTATTCAGCAGACAAGATGCTTTTCTGGGCATTTGTCGAATTTGACAAAAAACAACACAAAACAATTTAATTCAATGAAATGGTTAAATAAGCAATCTTGATGCTAAATGCTCAACTATGTTAGCTAACTAGGAGCTGCCTGAAATGAATTGGTAGGATGTAAAACCAAGACAATGGATGAACAGATGGACAAAAGCTAGAGTGCAGTGGCCCGGGGAGCTCAGCATACTGTAACTATAGAAAATGTGAATGCGCTGCAAATACAGAAAACATAAGCAATTAGAAATAAGTCCAACACCACCCAATGGAAATGTAGGGAGGTTACTAACAATTGATACAAAAATTACTTATTTGGTAGTTTTTCCATTTAATGCTGCTTTATACTTCTACTATGTTCTAAAAGGATAAGTTGTAGCAATATACTAGCCTGTACCTCAAGAACTATACTTGTGTATAGTTATTCTCTTTAGTGATTTAAAGCATATGCTTTAGAAAGTGGCCCTATTCTGTTTTGGGGGGATTTCCCTTTCCAGTAGTTTGTTATATATGTTTTTTTAAATGTAAAGGGTCTGCAAAGGCTCCCCCAGCCTGAAACGTCTCCATTGGACTCTACTTCCATTACATAATGACATCACTATGTAACA